TGACTTGTTAAAGTGATGCTTCCCGCACGATAGATCGGTGTGTAATTAGGTATTTTGCAGACGGGAGTGGAAAAGCATTGTAGTGTTAATATATTTAGGAATAAATTTATATATACACCGTGTTTTCCAATTTTGCACACTTCACTTTATAAATAAAAAGGAATGTGGTTTTTATCTATGTTATAGAACCTATATACCATTATACAATTATCATATTTTCGAGTGTTCACTTTAAAAAACTATCACCATATATAATACAATATATATTTGAGTCAGATATTTAAATATTTATTTTACTTAGGAATCCTATCACTTCAAACGACTAAAAACACAGAAATAGTAGAGGAGGTAAATTAAAAGCCATACTTACACAAGCCTCTTAAATGTTACCTGTTAGGCTTAAATATTATTTCGCCTCGCCAACTCAACAAAGTCGTTTACAAAATTATATGCTCCAATTGCTTCCAGTTACTAAGAATCAATTCAGCATTTTTTTAAAATATGATTTAACATCCTAAATAATAAATTTGAATTTCATTTGGTAAATAAAGCATAAAACATTACCTATAACGTAAAGTGGAAATGCTTACCAAAATTGAACTTTTTTTAGCAATAGGTTCGAAAATAATTTCCGGCATTTTCTATTCGATTTACTTTTTTTTTCAAATTTCCTGGATCGTCCTTTGCGTCTTTGCGATTACTGGGAAACCCGGTATAATAGTAGATTTAAGTATTTTTGAAATCCTCGAATCCCGTTAAATTTATTGTAAAAGTAAGAATATTTTTTAAAGCTAAATGTTATGCTTTAAAGTTAATCCGGTATTTTCATTCAGAGTGTATGTTTCTAAATGAAATTGAATAATGTCTTGTAGCATTAATAGCAATGAATGATCTATGATTACTAATGATTAAATAAATTACTTGATGACATTGCTTCAACGTTTTCAGCTTAAACATAATAATGCCGGTATATTTATTTACTATATATGTATTACTAACCTTGATTTAAATAAAGTGAGAGACATTGTAATACTTAAGAACCAGTAGGCGTGACTGAAATGGGCGTCGTGCATTCACTTTTTTTGTCTCCTAGGCGATGTTTTAAACGCTTTTCTTGCATTACAGGTGCGAGTCATTTCACAAAATCCTACACAAATAGCTGAATAAATTTTAACTTATAAACTTCGGTTATTGATCTGAAATAAGAATTTTTAATCTTATACAGGGTGGCTCATAAGCGAAGAAAATTTCTAAATGTTCATTGAATTTAATTGTTTGGTAACTTGCAGGTGGTCAACATTCAGAAATGTCATTAATGACTTAGATTATTTTTCTTATCATTTTCATCAGTCCGAAAGTAATCCAACCATAAATATCAGAGACCAAAGAACAATTTTAATTGCACAATTTTTATGTCGTTGCCTTATGTTTTCCAAATTTGTCAAGTGAGAAACGGGCTTTTATGCTTTTAATTTCAGTTTTTACCTCGGTGAGTTACATACTCTTATATATATTAATAAGAGACGACAAGATTTTCTGTACCATGTACCGTGTACATAAAGATGGTTTGATATTTGATAGTAATAAAATAAATTCTATGTACCTATTTCTATTTATAGTCCTTTTCAACTTTTTCAAAATTTAAGTTGACTGATGGTTAATTTCGTTCATTGAATGTTAAAATAAAAAATGCATTAATCAAGCTCAATTATTTTTCTCTTTTAGACATTTACTATTTAGGACTCACTGCTTTCAAAAATTGACAAATTGTCTAAATCTTTCTACAAACCGAAAGAAAACGATTTTCTGCCAATGTAAAAACGGTCTACTATTTTTTTTATAAAATAGGATTGCATTTAATTATTTTTTATTTATATACACATACATACATACACATTAAGATTATATAGAAGATATATTTAATTGTCCTATATTCCAATACAGTTAGTTATCATTTACAGATATGTCTTATATAGCTTGAAAATTGACTAACTCTTAACTAACGAACGGTTGGTTAGTTTTAAAATAAGCGCCGAATAACCTAGCGATATTATTGTCACACGAAGCTGTGAGGGCTCAAACATTTTTTTTTATACTGCTTTTAAAACGTACCTCAATATAATAACCCTTTTAGTACTGTCTGAAAGTGATTTAATAGGCTTTCACGGAGAGAATATAAAAGCGATTTGTGATCGTAATTAAAATTGGATTTAGTTTCGAAGCAGAAGCCGACATTGAATTGATTTTTTGCAGACATATTTAAATGTAAATTAGTCATTTCATCCATTTTGTCAAATTGGTTAGTTTGCTGTTTACAAATCTTTGTCTTATTTTGTTTCAGGTAAGTAAGAACTGCTGCTAGTTCTTTATTCTACTACGATTTTTTTTACTACTAAAAAGGTAATCCAATTTAATTAATTAATTTAATTATTTAGAAATTATCTAACGGGCACCAAAACTTTATCGTCTGTGGTAGGGCCTTATTTAATTCAGGGTCAGGGTCATTTTCCTTTGCGGTTATTTGTGGTGATTCTTCTTGGAATGACCGATGGTGCAAATAGCAAACGTTTTAAAAATATTAAAGCTATTTTTGGACTAAATAGCTTTTTCTATAACTGGGAAAAATCGTCCCAACTTTTCAAAAATACATATTGATACTTTGAACCAACTAAGGAAACTAATGTTGTAAAATGGTTGGGAGTGATAGTTAATAAAAACCTTAAATAATCAATATTTTTATAAATTTTATATTTTTCACTATAATATATTTATAAAAAAAACTATTACACTTATTTGTAAAGCATTAATTGAACTGCTACTATGATATGGTATTCTAATGGGAGGGGCTGACATTTTCAGCTGCTAAGAGTAATACAAAATGATAGTTAGGCCGTAGTTTCTGTGTTTCTAAGCGCTTTTTTATTTAATTTACTGACAGATACGGATTATTTTAAAAGGTTTATCATTGTTACTTGATTATAAACTTCCAATACCAATTAATTTATTTCTGAGAGACTTATAAAATTGGAATGTTAATTAATATACAAGGAGTTAGAAAAAAATACTTTTATTATCCCGTTATTGAAAATTAATAATTTGTTTGAAAATAGTGACCGTCGCGTTTATTTCACTAAACCATCACGAAATGTCTGATTCGGCTTCGGGGTAAATTGAATAAAGACCTTCGTAAAAATTCGTACGCCCCCTCCGGATATTTGCAATTGAATGTTTCACCCCATACGGCCCACAACGCGATGCGTTGTTCATTCGTCGCAATACACGGTCGGTAACAGTTTGTCGGGCGCATGACAATGGCCGAACGAATTCCCGGTTTTAGAGATGCAGTAATCCTCCAAAAATTATTATGTCTGTGTTTGTGACACATCGTAAAATATTCCCTTAAATCCCCTTTTGATTAATCCGTATGGGGGAGACGGGAAAATCGAGTGGCCCCGCGAACTCGCGCGGACAGCTGCACCTAATAGTTTTTGGGGTTCGGTTCGCCGATTATTATGTAAACGACGCGTCGTTACGTGTTACGTAAATAAATTACGTCGATGACCTTGACCTTGACGTATTGCATTCAGGACCAGGACGAAAACTGGTCGGGCAACTAGCGACGAGTTCTCCCTGATGGTAAACTTCGACGAACGATATACCGTTTTTACCACATAATCCGATATTTAACTTTGGTAAATTTTTATGAAGGTCCATCGGCAGGCTTCCACAATGACGTTCCGGAACCGTACTTTGGTACTTCGTGCATACAAATGTCGAGGGCTGGTTGATTTGTGTAGAGTTTTGTCGGTGAGATTCCTCGATTATTATTAGTCCATGCAGTGGAAAATCCATTCTTATTTTAAAGTATTTATTATAAATATAAATGAATAATCACTATCGTCATTGGACCCGCCCTTCACCTTAATAATTAGTTTCAACCACCACATTATTTACAACTAGAAGCAGTTATTTTTTGTACTTCACTTATATTAATTCTATTGCCCGTGAACTGTAAATTTCAGCGAGATGTTGTTTCTTCTTAATCTGGGTTTCACCTGTCCCCATATCAGTTATATCGGATTAAAATTGCCAGTGATATGTCCACATTATACTTCTTATGAAACGTCCCCGTCTTAAAAACTTTCAATAACTGCTTCTTTCTGTAGGAATTTTCAAAATTTTTGAAGCATAAAATTTTGAATGACTCCTTTAGTCGATAGCTGGCGTTATCAATCACGACAGTACTGTTTGGTGGAATATTGGGAAGCGATTTTTCAGAATACCATTTTTCAAAGATGTCTGCTGTCATGTTTTCGTGGTAGTTAACCTTTGCTTCTTTGACATCTTTTGCAGGAAGCAACAACGAGTTATCTACTCAACCACGCTAGCTTTTGCCCCTCGAAACTGGTACATTCAATGACCATTTCTTGCTGTTATCATCAGTCCATCGTTTCTTGACGGTATCGTGGCTATCAAATCAGGAATTTCTTGGATTTCTCTCAAATATCTTGTGCCTCCACTCCGAAATTCTTCTTGATCCCATCAAAACTTGTCCCTTATTAATGATTTTATAATAAAAACCAATTCTTCGTACGACCGCACGCAAAGTCTCTTGGCAACAGTCAATGTTCAAAACACTACGCAACTCTTCGTGTAAAGTTTTAATTGTTAAAACAACTATTCCGGCATGGTGTGTGTCAAGTAGACTTTTTGGTACCCCACGATCTTTCCGCGTTTTTTTTTTCTTGCACACCATTCACAACTATGTCGCATACGGTGTTTTAGTCGATTTCAGCAAAAGAAATACATTTAAAATTATAATTTTGGCAGCAACCGGCAAATGTGTCCGAGTCTTTGATCCATTTGAATTTGACGGATGTTCATCATCAACGTCATCGACCACAATCTCAACTTCTTCGTCGCTAGACATCGCAAGTGCCTAACAAAATTCAATGATCAAACGAACTTACCTGGTAAGTGAAGTTCGATCGTAATTATATGTTACACCTCTTCGTAGAAATCAATATACGTAGTCCCCCTTCTAGTCGCTAGGTGGCACCACAGCTTTAAAGCAGAGCCAAAAAACTGTGGAATAACTTACCATGGACGGTATATTCGCCATCTATGGTCTTAACCTCATTCTATTTTAAAGCCCGTTTATAATAAATTTGCCAAAGGGCATTTTAGTACTGTTCAGAACAGTAAATTGGGCGGGAATGGGTGATTTCTACGAAGAGGTGTAACATATAATTACGATCGAACTTCACTTACCAGGTAAGTTCGTTTGATCATTGAATTATATGTTACACCTCTTCTATGAAATCAATATACGTAGACTTTCAAAGGCAACTCAGCAAATTTGTTATAAAACGATTTTATTCGGCTATATAAGGAAATCCAGGAAGTTTATGAAAGCCTCGAGTACAAATACAAAATAAATGGCTATCCGAGAAAACAAACCTTCTGAACAATTCCATGTCCCAAATGTGGCATTAACAAAAAAGGCCTGCACTTGCTGTACAAATAGGTCTATTATAAAAAAGGGGAAAACATTTAGAGCATTCTCACCAATCTGCCGTTTTTCCAATCATATCAATTGAAACACCTTTACAAAACGCAGACGATGTTGAGGCATGTCGAGTTCTGTGAACAGTAAAAATAAAAGTGTAGACACCACTATCTTCTAAAGTTATCTTTATTCATCTACTTTTGTTGGGTATAGTTGCTGCCCTACAAGGCTTTTTAAATGTAATGAGTAAACGAGATTCACTGCCTCTTAAAGCACTGGCCCTCGCAATAATATATTTGAAACCACACAAAGATTTACATCTTCATATTTATGCAAAATTAAAAAACAGGTCGAGTCTTATTTATAGCTGAAATCTTAATTTGATTCGTTATTCTAATTTCTAATCCATCTGGAAATGATTTTATGTTGACCAATTCTATAAGAGAGAGCGTTTGGACTCTATGTACAATCGTTAACTTCAGTAGGAGAAACTAATTTAATTGTTTTAATGACAGTTAATTGCTTTAATGACAAGTCATTAGAACGTAACCCTTTTACAAAGTCAGGGACATAACTAGGGCCCCAAGTGCTGTTATATCTTGGTTTACTTGGCCTTAGATTATAAACACCTTAAAAAACCTAGTTAGATTTGCATTGTTAAATAAATCTGATCCAAAAATAAGGCCGTGCTGCACTGAAAGAACTCAATGAGCCATAGGACTTGCCTTGTCTAAAATGAATAGTAAGGAAATCTAATACAGCCTAGGTGAGAAGTAATAACACTCCACTCCCCTCCTTTCGTAGAAGCTCCACCAAAGTTTAAATGCATGCAGGTATTAAATGCCTCAAGGTAGCGCTCTGAACAGATGATAGAAAAATATCCAGCAAATCTTCTGGAATGCTTGCCTGACAAAATCCCTGCAGCCAGGGTAAGGGATTTCCACAAAGGGTGACCTCTCCTGTCAAAAGAAGAAGGTAATTTGTCTGGAATTAGAAACAATAAATAACTACAACGCCTCCCATGAAAAAAAAAAGCAAACCAATGCTGGCTGTGCCCGTAAGGGATTACTGCGATCCCTGTAGCTCAATCAGCCTTGATTTTTCGTAAAACAAGTGGCAACAAGCAAAACGGGGGGAAAACATAGAAGAAACTGTCGCTCCAAAAAACAGTAAACGCGTCTTCATTAGATGCCTCCGGATCTGGAAATTAGGAAATAAACTTTCCGCATTTCTTACTTAGGCGAGAAGCAAACAGTTCGATTTATGGGAATCCAAATTTGCTTGTTATTTTAGCAAAAGCATTGTCCGAAAGGTACCATTCACTATCAAAATTCAAATTCGTGGGTTCCTTATGCGCTTCAAAATTATCGGAAGATCGAATGTAAGATGCTTTAACCCATAACCTCCTTTCTTCACACCAACCCCAAGGCGCCTCGAAATTTCGTTTAAAACAGGAAATTTTACTCACCCTATTCTATTTACATACAAAATAGCAGTTGTGTTATCAATCCTCAAAAGTGTCTCGCAGTTAGTCAAATACGAGGCGAAGCATTAGAGACCAAATGAGGCCGCAGTTAATTCTAGTGCATTAATATGAAACTGAGCTTCCCTAGGACTCCAAAGTCCTCTGGCACAATTCCCCAACCCAAAGGAGTACCATCTGAGAAAATCTCAAGTTTGTAACATTGCTGCCTTACAGGGCATTCAGGATTCTGTAAACTTTTTAGCCATCACATAAAATCCCTCCGTAAATTACAAGGAATTATCATCCAAATATCATAATTATCGACAGAGTCTTGAAGGGCTAGATATTTGATTCTCTCAAAAATTCTTAGTATATACCCAACTGTAACAAACTGCTGGGCAAACTGAAAACTAGCACAGCACAAAGCTCGGCAAAGACTCTTATTTCGCAATGGTTCAAATTGCAAAACTTACTTACTCATCAGAAAAACAAGTGGTGGGATTCAAAAAAAACAAAACCTAAAAATTTACGGGATTTCGAAGGATGTAAAACATTCTTATAATTAATAACATAACCCAACCTAATCAGTGTGTTGCAAGTTACTTGAACATTTTTTAAGGATAGCTAACTATCACCAAATAGTAAAGTTATCTAAATAAACTATTGAGGGAAAAGCCTTGGCAGGGAGATAAGAAACCACAGATTTCATTAATTCTGTAAAGGCCCACGGGGCGGTGCATAAACCAAAGGGTAACACGTTAAACTGATAACAGAGAGCATCAAAATAAAATCTTAGAAAATTCTTTTGATTTTCAATTATTGGGACTAGAAAGTAAGCTTCTTTCAAGTCCAGAGTGGTCATAAAGTACTTCCTTGTGAAGAGTGTTTCTACTAATTTTCTGTCTTCCAGTTTAAAATGACAAGTGTCAATAAAAGCATTCAGTTTCTTTAAATTTAAAACTAATCAAACCGAACCATCCAATTTTGAAACCAAAAAGATCTGTAAAATAAATTGATTCTTACAAGGTTCGCAAACTGCAATTGCACCTATCTCTAACAGGTGTTTGACCACATTACAAATTGAATCTTTTTCTTGTTGGGACCAAACAGGATCTGTCGTAATCAAGTCCTGTATAACTGGCCTCGCAAATGGAATTTTATATCCATCTAACCAAGGTAGAATCTGTGCATCTTGAGTTCTAGAGTTCCAAATGTCCCGAAACTCGTGCAATCTTTCAACAAAAGTACTTACTATTTTTTCCTGGGGACACAACTCCACCCCCTTTCCTCTCGAACCTTCCTGTATTCCCTCTTTTGAGGGTACAATGACTTTCACCCACTTCAGCCTTGCAACTTCCGGGAACGAAGTGGGACGGTCGAGTTTAAATTTGTATGCTATAAAAGCCTTGTTCCGGATGCACCTGACTTTAACTCGGCCACTAATCTGCAGCTAATCTGATTGATTTGAGCCTATCAGCCAAATCTTCTCCATATAAACAAGAGTGCAAAGAAGCATCAACGAGCACTTCCTTCATACAAGGCTGCATTTCATTTGAGACCAGCGAAAGGCTTAACGCGGCTGAACTTCTATATACTGAACCTAAATGGTGTATTTTGCTTAAAACAAATATTGCATTACTCAACATTTCGATGAGAAGTAAGTACTACTCATCCTTAACCGGTTTCAAAAGCAAGGTCAAGAGCGTCCTACCAACCACCATCAAAGCACCCCTTGTTGCAGTCAGTCTCTCATCCCTTTTCTTTCCACCTTTGTTGATGGCAGATTTCATCTGCACATTCAATTTAGGAGAGTTATTGAGCGGGCAATTCTTCGGCACAGGATATCAACGCAAAAGGTCACTGAGACAATCTTCGGACACACCGGATTTCAAAAATCTGACTTGCCAAAATGTCATGACACATCAAACTTTGTGTTGGGACTATCGACCCCATAGCTTAAAGGCCATTTTGCTTTAAATCCGTCTCAAGGGGCTCAACAATGACATCAGAATTAATTGAAGGGCCTAAAAAATATACTTACGATGGAGTAAATGCATTCCAAGAGCCATAAAAAATTGTTCATTATGTCCCAGTATCCCGGGCGCCTCATCCATAGCCGGACGAGCCAGAAAACTCTATTTTTTCGATGTCGAAAAAATATAAAACCATATGTATGGCCGACCCCCTCACAAAAGGATTGCTTCCAATTGTGAAACACTTACATACGACTGTTGTCGTATAAGTGGGAAAGATGGGGGGTCTTTCGAGTTCTGGGGATTCCGATCGGAACCCGGACGATGAAGAAATCGTCTCCCAATTGTAAGAAAATCTCGTTGATGGGAACCACGCCACTAGCGATTATGTAATCGCGGATGGAAAGATTTAATCTTTCGTCGTAGGTAGGTTCTTTCTTCATCCGATAAGGAATAACGTAAATCTCACTTGTACTTCTCCATTTAACTTCCAAAAAACGCTGAAAAAAGCTGAAAACACCGACGCCGAATAAAAATGAACATGTGCCACCAAAGCACAAAAAGAGGAATGAGGTTAAGACCATAGATGGCGAATATACCGTCCATGGTAAGTTATTCCACAGTTTTTTGGCTCTGCTTTAAAGCTGTGGTGCCACCTAGCGACTAGAAGGGGGACTACGTATATTGATTTCTACGAAGAGGTGTAACATATAATTGAATAATGTTAGTGTTTGGTAAGAAATAAATTCTAATACTATGTATATGGAACTTCAAAAAAAATAAAATTATCTACATAATATTTTGTATTGTTTCCCTAGCAAAGTAAAATTTAGCGTCATTATGTTTAAACTTTAAATTGAAAATCAGTTTAAGCGTTCTAATGTGTTTTTAATATATTAGATCAATCTATCTTATGGGCAAATTCAACTTGAAATCGAGCTACCTCAAATAGGGACTGTTTTATTAAGATTTTTAAAAAGGACACTATTATGAATACTACTCTTAAAATACAGTCCGCAGGGCACAGTTCTTGTCGGCTAATATTTTAAATACGGCGCTGCCTTATGGTACACGTGCTTAAATGAACGGTACCTTCCCCTTTACAACAGACGGATCTTAAACTCATTCCGAAGTCAAAACCATAAAAGGTTGTAAAAACAATGTTATTTCTAATCTAACAAATAACGAATTAAGCTGCTTGGCCGCTGTTTTGGTCCATGATTCTGGGGTTTTTCTGCAGGAGGAAGTTATGCAAAGTAATTCCCTTTTACAAATCGGGGAGTAAAAGTAGTATGGACAATTAAAGGCTTACAGGCCAGTAAGCAAATTTAGAATTGATTATTGAAACTAGACTAAAGGGTTTTCTTGACAAATATATTCTACCGAACAATTTACAGTTTGATTTTACTGAAAAAAGTAGCCTAAGAATTGATATGATTAATTTTATATCGAGTAATTTTGATGGAAAACATGCTGTTTTTATTGCCTATTGCTGTTTGAAACCCTGTATTATGGAAATTGAGAGCTATTTTGGTCTCATATAAGCTCTTTCTGAAGACAATTACACACCCTTAATTTTCAGTTTATAAGAGGATGGACTAGAGGCACAGTCGCTACTTTGATTTTGAGGATGATACAGTTCTTTTGTATTGAGGTTCTAATATAAATAATCTGGAACCAATAGTAAACGTTGATTGTCAGTGTCCATGATTTACAAGTTTGGTGATCGGTTTTATTTTAATGATTTTTTTTATCTCGGTAATTGATCTCTCTGCGTCTTTTGTGGAACTGAATTTTTGCAAGCGCTTGCACAGACGTATTTTGCAGGTTTTGTTTTTCTACGGTTATACCTGCTATAGCAACGTTTTTGCATGGTATCAATTGATTTTTTGGGAAATCGGATTATCACACTTTTTTAACACATTTTTCATTTTAACAACCAAACGTGAATGTTTTTAATAGTTTTAACGTTCACTTTCCTAATATTGTTAATTTTAAAGTTTAGTCGCACAACGATATAATTAAGAAAGGTATTTTTATCCCGTGCAACCGAATCAAAATATAATTATTTAAATAGGCTATTTATTAAATCGTCGGGACACAGACGGTGGCTTTACCACTGTGCTTCTGCGCTATCTTTTAACACCAGTGACTGGCTGTACCGTTTCACGTTCGTGCCATCTGTATCTGTCCTCGGAGTAACCTATTAATAACTCAATTTAGTAAAATACCTACTGTTATTAACTGATTAATAATACCTATACATAATTAAGCAGTCGTAAACTGTTTTTGCATTTGTTTAATTACTTCGAAATTCAATTTAAAAGCAAATAACTTTGTGTTGCTTGGAATTTATTTGGATAATATTTAAATTTGCTGTTATTTTTGCCGTTTTTAAAAATAAGCTAGCAAATAATTATATAAAATGTAGTGCTAGTTGTTTCTTAGACTAAATTTTGATAAAATGCGATCGTACGCCATTTGAAGCTTTTTAAGCTGTTAAGTTTTTATGGTTATAAGTTTGCCTCAAAGCCAAATACCCATAGCACAACGGTTCTCCATATATATCAAATTATTAGCTTTCTTTTATCAATATGATCATTAGTTGAACACTTTGACACCAGAACTCCAATGTCTAAAGCTTAAGTTCCAAAATTGTTTAATATCCTGTTTCTACTTTCTACTAGAAAATAACGTATTATGCACGGAGCAAGCGTACAGAAAGTATCATTGTAGGACGCTGTACTGTTTTCTTTTTTGTTAAAAAGCCTACAATATGGATAGGTCTAGTTTGTTGCATAAACACTAATGATAATTTCAAGTTTTTTTAGTAGTTGGTAAGTGTATTCTACAATACGCCTTGTTTGCGTTATCGTGTAAAAAATACAAACATTACAAAATCTTTTGATTCTTAGGTAATCAGTGTTGCTGGGATTATTTAAAAAAAAAACAAATTTTCAAGTGGAAATATAATTACCCGATTTTCGAGTTTAATATAAATACCGAATGAAAAGAAAATTATTTTATTTTGTACAAAAAATGGTTGTATATAAAAAAAATTGTTTGGAGGAAAAATATTGTCGGCGAAGTTTTTGTAATTATCGCAAACGAAACAAAAATCTGAGTAAATTTATAACTGGTTCGCAATCCCATTTGGAGTTTATAAAGTTGTTCGGCTACGGACAAATTAAAATCACGCGGCGCTTTTCTGCACAGAATTCGTTTGATTTGATGAAAATTTTATCGTTAATTTTGCTCCGGTAGGGGATCGGCAGTAGGTATTCCGGTTCCTAAATATTATAGGCCGGGGTTTCCTTCGGGTTATAACAGCAATATTATTTAAGCATGCAATCAATCTCGTGACGAAAAGGGCGAGGTGATTTAATTTGATTGGTAATCTTTCATCCATCATACTGCGGAATTCCTATAAGCAACGGGGCGCAGCCGTAAGCAAATATTTAACGTAATTTGAGAACTATTACAATATAAATTCTAGACTTACGTTATTTTGGTTAGTTTAATGAGCGCAGTTGTAAGAAAAGAAAATAATAATTTTTGCATAATTAATGATACATAGTGAAACTGTATATCCTTTTCGTAAGAATCATTTAATCAATCTTACTTTCGCTTAAAAGTAAATAATAACTGAGTTAGTTTTTGAAAAATAGCACGAATACATTCACTCTCCAAAATCTACCAATAACATCCGCCATAGTGTTTGATCAGTGGATTGGATATTTTTGTCTAACCAACTAACCAAAACGCACTCATGACTAAAGTGTCTCTTATTAAATTGTTGCATAATATATTATTTGCTACTCTCTACTCTAAAATGCTCAATTGTGTACAGCCGTTACCAAGGTGTCACTTTAAAATGTCAGCTTCATTGAACTCTGTCGCGAGCCATTTTGGGAGTTTGCATCCCATATCTACAAATTATTAAACTCTGAAACTATTAATGCGAATACATGCAAAATAAAAAAAAATACAATTATGAAGTGTAATTTTATCAAAACTATCTATGATTAATAATTTATGTTGCTTTTGTATATGTTTTATTGTTTCATTTTATTTTATCTTCGATGCTTAATTTGATATGATCATATGTCTGTATATTTATTTTATTTGACGTTTAAATAAGTATCTTCGGACTAAACATATTGCAAATATTTTTTTGCTAACGGATCTGTGTGTTTTATTATATTTATTACTAGATAATTTTTAAAATTTGTAGTTTGTTTCGAAATTTTTTAATGGGAGGAAAACGTCGAAATGAAATACCGACTCATGTTTCGCTGTCTGATTTTAAATGTTTCCCTTCGTTTTATTGTAGCGTTTTATCTGGTAATAGACTGGTGCCGATTTACAGATAACGTCCATAGTTGGCACGCAAGCTGTGTTTTATTGCGAACAATAAAGTTCTTTGTTTTCGTGTTGTGTTGTTAAATTTCATTAAAATTGACATATACAATCTATTTGTATAAGTAAATACATTCCTTATTGATTGACTCTTATTTGCTTATATCCACGGTGAGTCGAAACCAAAAGTAAAAGCTCGTAACCTTGTGGATGTTTATAGCATTTTTATGTATGACGTTTCGTTAAGAAGATACAGACATTTTTACTATATATGTTAAAAAGAGTAAGAGGAAAAAATTTAAAATGAATTTACACAAACGTTGTTCACAATCTGAAGTAGTGTCAGAGATTTTCTAAATAATTCGCCAATGCTGCATCTGTAATTTACTATTATGGCATATTTTTCGAAAAATCACAGAACGCTCGCGCTAATAATTTTGAGATGATCTGCTTGGCTTCTGAAATTTTAAAAAGCATTTTATTTGAGTTTTGAAATGTTGAATGCGTTTGAAATCGACGATTTTAAGTTTCAGTAAAAATTCTGGACCTTTTCGACA